TCAAAAACATCTTAATAGCCCAATGAAGAGAACGTGAACTGTAGTTGAATTATACTGAACTACTGAATTAAGTTAAAAGTAGCAATCCTCTTGTTTAGCACAATGGTTGTACAGAAACTTTGTACAGAAACTTGAATTTGGTACTCTAGCAAAATCCTACCAACTTGGTAAGAGTTTTATGCAAGCACTTCAGACACTTCTGAATTAGTAAGTGTTAGTAAGGCCTGCAAGCATTTGCAAAACTGGGGTCTGAGAATTTGGCCCTTTATCTATCTATTTAAAGTAAAAGAAAAGGAAATACTAGTTTATGCTGCATTTGTTGAATTCCTAAATCAATTTAGATAATTTATTTGCAGTATTTCTGAGGATTTCCTGTTTTTCAATCATCCCATACCTGACCAACATTTGTAATGCCTTTCATTCCTGCAATAAATTTTAGGTATAGGATATAAAAGTAGTTTTTGTTGAAACAGCTTACAGAAAGCATAATCATACTTCATGCTCTGAAACATACAATAATGACTGGTAAAATTATCAAGGACCCTAATTATTGCATTAGTTCTATACAAAATGCAAACTCTTTTGAAATACAATATAGGAGCAACATATTTGGTTTTTTTGTTGTTGTTGTTTTCCAACATCAGCAGAACTATGCATCTAACAGATTAATAACTGAAAAACAGAAAAAAAATCAAATAACATAAAAAAACCTCCCACGCAATAATTCCATTGAACACAACACTCTGGATTATTAAAATGAGCTAGGTAGACTAACCATAATTTTAAAAAAACTCCTGCTAAACAAAAACAATTTGACACAAAGACCAGCTGACTTTTAATTATATTTTAATTAAAACCCATTTATCTAAATGAAAAACCCACTATGAACACATGAACTACGCTCACCATGGAGGCTGGGCAAACTCCAAGTATGTTTTGAAATGCGGATGTACCTAAAATAATTTTTTTTTTTAAGATTACAAGAACTGAACTTAACCAATATATTTCAGATTTGGCAGGGGAGAGGAAGAGGTTGATAACATACTAAGTAATTCAGTACCTTCATCCATATGACCTTAGTCTGCCTGCAGTTAAATTAGTCTATACCACCTGAATAATTTTACAGTGGAAAAAACATAATGTATAGCTCATTACTTTCCTAATTATTTCCTCTCCCTTCGGGACAAATAAAAAGGCATCTTTGCAGTTCATCTCTGAATATGGCTGTGCATAATATTACTTCAAAAAGCATTACCACAGATCTGCTGAATACAGTGATCAGTGTCTTCACCTATAGATACACTACAGCATCTGACGTTGTTTTGACAACATATAATCTATTTTTTACACTCTAATAAAAGAATCTGCAACAAAAAAAATACCATTAATTTATATTACAAGACACTGTAGTATAAATTTATAGCATTTCTCAACTCTGTAGGTAACTTGGTATAATATATAAATATCAAAAACAAAGCCCCCAAATCAAAACAGTAACCTAAAAAGAACCAAAACACATTTTTAGAAGGCTGCAAAGTGCTTTGAAAATATTAAAAACAAAACTCAACTGTTGCCCCAAAATTTCTTGCTATGAGTTCTGTTTTTTCACATCTTATCCTGAAGGGCAGACAATGCTAAATTTATGACAGCACAATTTCTCAGATATTTATCACAGGTTCCTCTCACTCGTATTAAATCCCCCATTATTTCTCTACATGGCCTATTCCAGAAAGACATAAAAAAGTAAAAATTAAAAAATATGTGGTTTTTTTCCTACCTGTATATCCAGTTTTATTTACAACACCTTGAGAGAGAAAGACGTTATGGTACATTTACACCAAACTATCCGACATCAATCTCAGCTGTTTACTAAGACTACAAGTACTAAAAAAAAGTTATACAAACTTTCACAATTACACACTAATTTTTAGAACCATCACACAATGAGAAAAAAGTTATCAACTTTATAAATACAGAAAAAAAAATTACATGGTTTTAAGAACAACGAAGTTACTAAAAATATATATTTTTACCGTACCTCCTTTAATTTTTTTTTTCCCAGAGAGTTGATCTTTACAGGTTATTAAAAAAAAAATTAAATTCTTCAGCCACGAGCCTTTGTATTTTATTTTTATTTAAAATAAAAATTCACATAAATGATAAAATATTTTGTTTTGGCCATTTGGCTCCCTCCTCCAAATTGACACTTTATAAAAACCTTCTGTACTTTTTTTCCCCCTCCCTCTCTCCCTCTCTACTACCTCCAAGATGGTAGGAAAGTTGTTGTTTTGGAGGGCAGAGGAGCCGATCTCTGATGTTATGTCCTCTCGGTGCCTGTAGTGGTGCTATAGGAGGCTGCTGGCTCTCTTCTTGAGCAGCCCCAGCAGCCCTGCCTTCTTTGCTGGAGAATATATTCAGGGATTCCCCTTAATAATCACCTACCCTCTGAGCACTTTGTAGTTTTAAAATAATAAAGAGCCCCCAAAGCTTCCTCCCCACAAAAAGCAGGATCTTCTCAGAGACAGGGGGGCAGCAGCTCCTCAGCACAGAGCCCGAGCACATTCCCAGTCCCTCTGCTGGGGAGGAAACTCTGATCTGTCAGCCCAACAGAGGGAAAGGGGGGAGAGGAGAGAGAGGAGGGAAAAAAAAGCAGCTGGAAAGGTAAGCCAGGCCCGGCCTGCATCCCCGGGCTCGCGTAGCGCGGCAGGCGGTGCGGAGGGTGCAGGGTGGGCGGGGAGGCGGGCTACGCGAGGCCGGGGATCGGCTGGAGTGGCGTAGGCCGCAGTTGGGGGTGCGGGGAGCCAGGGGGGTTTTTG